TCATTGTCACATACAGAACGACAATCAGAGTCCTAAAGGAAAATTGTCTATTCACGTCTTTCTCAGGTTAGAAATAGTTAATAATAAAATACAAAGAGATATGTTTTCAAAATTATAATAGAACTATTAGTTCTCTTAGAACAACATAAGTGATGACTGATTAAACCAGGATGTAAGAAACACATCTTTAATCCAAGAAATAACTAAGGAGAAATGTTACTATGCCTAGATTTTTAAGGCATCTACCCTTTTAAGATGTGGCCAAGGCTATCATAAGATCAAACAGCTGCCCAAAGTATCGGAATGAGCCCGACTTATTCCTAAGCTACGGAGGAAACCCAGAAGGACATAAGGAGCATCTCTCTGCTTACAGTATCCAAAGAAAAGGCACATGGAAGCGCAGCCCAAGTACAAGCAGGATTCTCCCTGGGCCTGCCGGAACCGCGGCTGGCTTTTATAGGCTATGCAAAGTGAGGACTCGGGCCCTGGGTTTGCAGCAGTGCAGCAAAGAGCCTGTTAACATTCCAGTTAGAGATCTCCAAAGCCACAGCTGAAGAGTTTTCCTCCCAATTTCTGGATTTATAGAGATTGGATTATAGAAAAGAAGAATTCTGCCTGTGCCAAGAGACACATGGTAACTGGTCACTGTCAGCTGAGAACGATTTGAACCTGGTAAAAAACAATACTGCAAATGCTGGAAGGCAGAATGTATTGAGAGCCGTTTATTTGCTAGTTGTTTCCAAATGTTCTTTGGGGCTTTCTCCAGACTGTACGAAAGAAAGAGGAGTTAAGAATGAGAAGATATCAGTGCTGAAACAGTTCTCTCTTACCTCCTTTCTTAAATTGCTCATTTCCCTCCTCCTTCAGTCTAGTGCTCTCTTCTCTTCTTTTCTAAGAGATCAGAAAAACAAACAAACAAACAAATAAATAAAGTAAGAGATCAGAGATATACAGAATTTGTCACAATATTATTTTAAGTGAACAAAAGGTCAGCTTTCTTTACATATTAGGCTATTTAATAGGCAGCAGCTGGACTTAAAATTACACACACACACACACACACACTTTGATTTCAGAAAGGAAGGGAGAGGGACAAAAATAAGTGCTGGAGAGGATGTGGAGAAAAACCCCTCTTATACTGCTGGTATAAATTGGTGCAGCCACTATGGAAAACAACATGAAGGTTCTTTAAAAAATATGACCCAGCAAGCTTCTGGGATCTATCCCCCAAATTTGAAAACATTTATTCATGTACCTCTATGTTCACTGCAACACTTACAATAGCCAAGACATGAAAACAACCTAAGTGTCCGTTGATGGATGACTGGATAAAGAAGATGTGGTACATATATACAATGAATACTTCTGAGGCATGAAAAAGTTGAAACACTGCCATCTGCAACAACATGGATGAACCTTAAGAGTATTATGCTAAGTGAAATAAGTCAGATGGATTCATGTGGGATATAAAACAAAAATAAACTCATACTTACAATGGAATGCCAGTTACGAGAAGGGAAGAGAGGTAGGGGGAGGGCAAAGTGAGTAAAGGGGGCGAAATATATGGTAAGGGAAGGACACTAGACTTTGGGGGGTAAGCATGCAAGAGTACACAGATGTTGAATTATAATGCTGTACATGTGAAATATAACATTTATATAATATTATTAACCAATGTTACCCCAAGAAATTTAATTTTAAAATTATAAAACAATTTAAATTAAGGTAAAAGTAAAACCCTATAATTATTAGCAAATTCAGTCCATTAATTTTAAATTAACACACACACACACCATATATCATTGTCGAATAAAGTGAAATGAAAAGTTGGTTTCACATTAGAAATATATCAATGCAAGGTAACATGTTAAGTTAAGAGAGAAGATATGCTCTCATGAATAAATGCACCATAGGTCTTACAGGTCTTTAATATATTATTTATTTTTCTTTTAATCTTTATTGTTGAAAGTATTACACAGGTCTTCCTTTTAAATATATTTTTAAGTTACTTTAAAAACACAAATTCTTTAGAGGCAATTCATCAAGTTAATGGAGTTTAATGTCCATCCTTTAATTTCGATCTCCTCTACTTTAACTCTAATTTGAAGCTACTTTTTGATTTAAATCTGTTCTCCAGTGCCAACTTGTCAGGAATGTTTTGACCACAGATGAATCACTCAGCCTACCAGGCTAGGCTCTTGTGTGAGTGCGTGTGTGTTGAGTTTAACTGTTCGTTAGTAAATGTAGAACATGAAGACCCCAATGGGCAAAGCCTAGATCCAAGGCATGCCCAGAAGGAATTACTGATTAAGAGCCAACCTGAGCAGCCAGCCAGCCCAAGAAAAGCTCCCAGTGTCTTCAAAACTAGGATCAAGAGTTGAACTGGCAGAAAGACTCCGTAACATATTTCTATGGCCAATTATTCTCAGGAAGGAATTTCATTTTTTTGGCTTGACCAATCATAACTCGGTGACCTATTAAGCAGTAAACACTGGAAAGAAGCTACTGCTTCCACAGATTGTGTAAAGTGAGGACTAATGCAATTATCAATATCACGCTGAACATCTCCTTGGAAACAGCTAAAAATACACTCTGAAGAGAAAGCTGCACCATTTCCCAGCTGTGCCAAGAGACTGACTTGATTCTAGTACAAAGACGAGGGTTTATTCTGCTGCTGGAACAGCTTTTCCCGAAAGGATGGCATGCGTACTATGTAATGGTACTGGAATCCAAGGACAGATTTTATATGTATGTGCCTTATTTAACATGCTAAGTGCCAGGGGCAGTCACACATAAATGACTGCTGATACTCTGCAGCATTATCAGATGCAAATCAGTCCAAGCCCTGGTCTAATGTGGTCAGGAGACTCTCACAGGCCTCAACAATGCCTTTTAGCACATTCCAGAGGCCTCACAGAGAAACATCTGCTCTAGGATTCCATTCCATCACAGTGGGAATCAAAGAACTTTACAGGGCTCTGTACTCCTCACTCCTCCCCATCACTGAAAACTCAGGGGAAAGAGCGGCATCATTCTGCACTGTACAATCATCACAGGAGCTGTCCGGGAAAACCCCCAAAAGACAGTGCCCTTGATAAATGCAGTCTATTTCAATAGTTATTACTACAACTTCAAACTTTTCAGCCTGGTATTTAAAGTTCAATACAACACACACCAGTATAGCATTTCACTGCTTAAAATCTGCTGTCACATACATGACTCATTTGCTTCTACGAGGAGGACATGGACGTATTTAACTATCCATTTTACAGGTAAGCAATCAAGGTTCAGAAATCACTTGTTCTTTATACTATTATACATCAAACCTCTATTACAACCTACTCAACTTTACCCCCTGCTACCTTAAACTGAAGCATCCATCTTATATAAAAACTGCTGTCTGAAATTTTAACCCTGCTATGTGGCTTCTGTAAATGCTTGCTTGCTTAAATAATAGGGAAAATAAGACTATTCCCGCTTCAGAGAGGCCATTAAACCTTCCCCGGACCATGTTATCAGTGCTGGCACAAGGCCAGGCCTCTGGTTGAGATCTCAATGTCCCAGCAGATAGAGGCTCTTTAAAAAAAAAAAAAAAAAAAAAAAAAAAAAAAAATATATATATATATATATATATATATATATATATATTTTTTTTTTTTTAAATTGATTTTTTTACAGAGAGGAAAGGAGAGGGATAGAGAGCCAGAAACATCGATGAGAGATAAACATCGACCAGCTGCCTCCTGCACAGCCCCCACCGGGGATGTGCCCGCAACCAATGTACCTGCCCTTGACTGGAATCGAACCCTGGACCCTTCAGTTTGCAGGCCAACGCTCTACCACTGAGCCAAACCGGTTTCAGCCATAGGGGCTCTTTAAGAACTTGCAAAGGGGGCCCCATATTTGGGAGACAAAGAAGGTAAAAACTTACAGATAGGGAAAGTTCCTCCCTGTTGGGGTCCAGAATTTGAGACATTTTATTCTGGGCCCATGCGTAATAAATGTAACTCCATATCTCTAAGTGTTGCTTGGTTCTTCTCTGGTTTTCTATAACAGCACAAGTCCTCTCTTCTAGACAGTCTGATTTCTTTGCTGTCTCTCAAAACTCACCATGCTTAATCTTCAGTCCATTCTTTTGTTTATTCAAGCAATGCCCTTGTTTCTCTTCCGTATCTTCCCCGACTGTCCAAACCAAATTTCCTAAGTCTAGTACAAAACCTATCTCCTCTCAAGGACCACCTTTCACTTCCTTCCCACATGATCTTCCTTTGAATGCAGCCTGCACATAATGTCTCTACTCTGGACATTCAATTCTGCCTCAAAAATTTTTTTAAATTATAAAAAACTAAAAAAGAATTTGTTATGGTACTTAAGGCTTAAATAATTTCATGGGTTGTAAAACAGTGCACACTCCTTAGACCTGGGCAAGAGGGGCCCTGTGAAGGCCTTCTGACCACAACCTGCCTCCCATGGACCCTTTTCCGACTATGCTCCCGGAAGTCCTGCCTACATCTCCCCAGTCTACTTCCAGGATCTACAGGGCCTTTGCCTGGGTCTGCCTGCATGCTTTAGATCAGTGAATAAAGCTGACTTAAAGAACTTTATAGGGCTCTGTACTGCTCACTCATCATTAACTTGGAGCTTACAAGTGTATATGCCTCTTATCACTATTCGATAAAATATATAAAAATAACCTTTGAGGCAGAATTGAATTCCCAAATCACACATACACACACACACACACACACACACACACACACACTATTTTAAAAAAAATATATTTTATTGATTTTACACAGAGAGGAATTGAGAGGGACAGAGAGTTAGAAACGTCGATGAGAGAGAAACATCGACCAGCTGCCTCTTGCACAAGCCCCACTGGGGATGTGCTCACAACCAAGGTACATGCCCTTGACCGGAATCGAACTCGGGACCTTTCAGTCCGCAGGCCGACGCTCTATTCACTGAGCCAAACCGGTCCCAGCAGATATATTTTTTACAGTCTGCATTCTAAGGAAGACTATTAAATTTATTTTAAAATATTCTCTTAAATAAATCTGCAGTGAGCATGTATTTAATAGACAATGGGGAGAAAGCCACGAGATTCACACCAGCAAGTTCCATGTTGTAAATCTATTGGCGGCTTTCTGCTGCCCCCTGCAGCTTTGTAAAGCAATTGCTACAAATGAAACATTTAAGTCGAGCATAGTCACCCAGAGACCAATCACATCCAGGTAAACAAAGGGTTGAAAAAAATACACACCGGTTAAAGGGCTGGGAAATGGAGGCACATGCAACAACTTTCTGCTTGAGTCTAGGTGGGATGGAAAGCTATACACTGAAAGGCCAAGGGAAACCAGCCCCACAAGTTATTCTGAAAGGGAATTCTTCACCATTAAAAAATAAACAAATGCTCAAGTCTTGCTTTCTTTGAAATTGGACAGAGTTACTTTCCACATACAGACACATCTGTTCTTCCCACAAATCCCTCAGGAGCCCTCTGGGAAACCTGGCGGGAAGATCTCTGGATTTAAGCTTTAGTTGGAACCTGACTCTTTTTTTTTTTTTTTTTTTTTTTTTAATAAGTTTTTATTGTTCATATTATTACAAATGTTCCTTTCCCCCCACCCACCATTGCTCTCCTCCACCAGGTTCCCATCCCACCCTCTGCCCTTTCCCCTCTCCCCATTGTCCTCATCCATAGGTGCACAGTTTATGTTCAGTCTCTTCCCACGCCCCCCTCTCCCCTTTACCCCAAGAATCGTCAGTTCACTCCCCTTCCATACCTCTGATTCTATTATATTCAACAGTTAATATTGTTCATCAGATTTTTTTAATTTCCTTGGTTTTTAGATTCACTTGTTGATAGTTATGTATTTGTTGTTCATAATTTTTATCTTTGTTTACTTTCTCTTCTGAAAGAACCCCCTTCAGCAATTCATATAATTCTGGTTTGGTGGTGATGAACTCCTTTAGCTTTTTTTTATTAGTGAAGCTCTTTATCTGGCCTTCGATTCTGAGTGATAGCTTTGCTGGGTAGATTATTTTTGGCTGTAGGTTCTTGCTATTCATCACCTTGAATATTTCTTGCCATTCCCTTCTGGCCTGCATGGTTTCTGTTGAGAAGTCAGCTGACAATCGTATAGGTGCTCCTTTGTAGGTTACTACCTTCTTTGCTCTTGCTTCTTTTAATATTCTCTCTTTGTCTTTTGCTCTTGGAATTTTAATAATGATGTGTCTCGGTGTGGTCCTCTTTGGATTCCTTTTGTTTGGAGTTCTGTGCGCTTCCTGGACTTGTAAGTCTAATTCTTTCACCAGGTAGGGGAAGTTTTCTGTCACTATTTCTTTCAGTATGTTTTCCATATCTTGCTCTCTCTCATCTTCTGGGACCCCCATAATTCTGATGTTGGTTCGCTTGAAGTTGTCCCAGAGGTTTCTTACATTATCTTCAATTTTCTGGATTCTCTTGCCTTCTAGCTTCTGTGGAGGAGTGTCTTCTGGCTCTTTATGTTCCAAATCTTTGACTTGATTCTTGCGATCTTCCCTTCTGTTTTTAGGACTCAGTAAAATATTTTTTATTTCAGACAATGTATTCTTTATTTCTTGTTGATCCCTTATCATTTCTTGTTGACTCCTTATTAATTCTAGTTGATCTCTTTTCATATCCTCGTAGCCCTTATCCATCTTTTCTAAGAAATTCTTGAAAAAACTTATAAGCGTAGATTTGAACTCTATATCCAGACGCTTTTTGTCCTCCATTTCTTTCGTTTGTGATCTATTTTGTTGTCGCATTTCGCTGTTACAGATGGGACGGGGTTTCAGGGTGGAGCCTGCAGCTTTGGCTTCTGTCAGCCCCGCCCTATACGGGTCCTTCAGTGCTCGCTGCTGCCGGCGCCTCTGAGAGAAAGGTGCCCTCGATTTTCGCCTGCTGCCAAACAGTCTATGCTCTCCCCCAATGAGCCCGGTATTGGGGTTCAGTTCAGTTGGAAGTGGAGTTGGAGGTGGCGTTCACAGCAGTCTGGAGCCCCAGTCTCCTTCCCGTCAGGGCGATCCCGCGGCACAGCCGACCGTCCCTTCTCTGCGTGCAATGTGCGCGCCTCCAGGACCTCCTTTCGCCTCTCCCCGGGGTTCTGCCTTACAGCCCAGCTCCCTATGGCTGAGCCTGAGTCCCCGGGGTCTGGCCCAGAACCGGGGATCAGAGCAGTCGGGGGCCCAGCACAGTCGGAGCTTTTCTCTCCTTTCCGCTCAGGAACGCCCGCCAGGCACTCGGCCTCCCTCCTCTCCGGCTCCGTCCTCTCCGCGCGCCGCGTCTCTGCGTCTCCGTACCTTGGCTTTTCCAGCTCTTCCGCACCTCCTTCTGGTTTTCTCCTTGCTTCTCGCTGTAGAATTTCCAGTCAGTCAACCTTCCTGTAGTTCTGGGCAATGTCCGTTTTATATTTTAGTTGTATTTTATTGAAATTGTTGTGTGCGGCTGCGGCTAGGTGTTCACCTGGGCGCAGCCATCTTGGATCCCTGGAACCTGACTCTTATTGTCTTTTTCTGAGGAAAGATGATTGATCTATGAGGAGTTAATCTTGAAAAAAATATTCCTTTGTTTTTTAACTCAGAAAATTCTATTTCCAAAACCTCAATTTAATAGAAATAAATTTCCTTATTTTGGTATTGCTTAAATTCCACACAGTAAGTCCTCTTTAGACACTGAGCACATATGACAGTTAAAAGAAAAAAATCCTATTAGAAAACTGTTCTTCTGATGTTGGATGCAGTCAATATAACTGTTAGATCATTACTTCGCTCTGGAAGTTAGACATCTGTATCAATCTGGCTCTCTGGCTCCCAAGTGTGGCCACAGAAATGACCTGGGGATGTAGACAAAGGGGAACGCCGGCTGCACCCCACCAACCTGCGGTCCCTGCTCAAGGCTTTGCACGGCTACAAAGATTCCTGTGATTCTTAGGCACAATGAAGTTTGAGAAGCACTGAAGGACACTTTACCTCTCCCATCAGCAGGTAATCTAAATATATTAACTTCCAAATGTTTTGGAGTAAACAAGCCTTATTTCTCCTGGTTTAAACCCAGGCACAGAAATCTAAGGTCCCTTCAGTTCTTAAATTCTAGGACTTCATTTAATCACTTGTCAATAGCATTCATAAACCTAATTCTGGTAAACTCTAAGAAATTAATAAGACAACCTTAGTTCCAAAGAATGCCCATTAGGAATGAAATAAAAGGGAAACAATAAATCAAAGATTTTCCTATGAGGTTAACAGAACATGCATGCCACTACAGAAAAGTTATTGAAAACTTTCTGGAACCAACCAGGAGAATATTCTCTGTAAACACGCCACTCTTACGGCATTGATGACATTATAAAAGCAATGCAATGAGGTGAGGCAGCAGAAACATGGAATCAGAAGGACTTAGGAAAAATGAAACCATAGGATTTAGGAAAAATAAAAGAAGGAAGAGAATGGATATAAAATTTCTGTTATAAACCAATACTGCAATAATGGTTCCTGATTAAAAATAAAATAGCCTTAAAGGAAAGAATAATCCTTTACTTTTTCAGAGCCTAAGGAAAATGTTTTAAAATCCCAGAAGCCATGTGCTCTGGGTCCATGTTCACCAAGTAAGACTTTTGTATTCCTTACTTACATGGATCTTTGTTATGTATCTACTATGTGTAAATGAATACCTTACAATGAATACCTTACGCAAACAATTGGCACTATGAAGCAAACCCATGAAAATGACTAAATCTGCATTTTGCTTTCAGATTAACTTCATCTCTACTCTGGCTTATCCACCTGTTTCCTGTTGGAATAAGCTTGAAATTCCTTATCACAACTCAGTGTTCCATAATCAGACCCTCACTTACTTCATCACCTCACCCTCCTCCTCAACCACAACTCCAGCTACTGGCCTGGCCCTTTAATACCTTGCATGCCAAGAGTGTACCAAGCTTATAGTTACCTTAGAGCCTTTCTTTACATGTTTGTTAACACATCTGACTCCTTTTCCCCTCCAAGTCTGTATTGAAATGCCCTTTCCCCAGACTGGCCTTTCCTGATCTGGAATAGTCCTTCCCATCCTCCCAACCCTCATCACTTCATCTTATCTTTTCCATACCTCCCAACTAGAAAAGTACTTATGAGTGAAAAGAAGCCCTCTTCATCTTCACCACTGTATCCCTATGGGCCTCACACAATGCCTGGCCTGTGGAGAAATGCAAATACTGCTTGAATAAATGTGTGAGATAAAAATCTCTATACGGGCAATTACTGGCCCTCATGAGAAAGATAACCATATGGTCCATTCAATACTATTTAATGAAGAAAGACTATGTGCAGGGCCCCATGACTGTGCCCTGAAACTGTTAGTGTGCATACGAATTCCACAGGAAACCCCACTGAGGCCTAAGAACTCTATTGTGACAAGTAGCCGATAAAAGGCGAGTCTCTTGAAGGATATCCTATAGGTCCCAGTACTATAAGCATCTTATGTCATAAGGTTATAGCAACAACTTTCATCTCCTACCAGATCTGTCCTCTACCTCAGCCAAGCCTTCCAGAATCCTTATTTGCTTCACACATCTACTATATCGCAAATATCAGCTAAAATCCCACTCCTCTGGGTCATCATGTCTACATTTAGGCTTTCACACAGTTAAGATTTGAATAAAAACACACATACACAGTGCTTTATGTTAAGAGATTTTGCCTGTTTTTATCAAATCTTAACTGCTGTCCTCTTCCTTAATTATTCCTCAGGGTTTAGGAGCTCTGCTGAAAACTCACACTCTTGCGCCTAGATTATCTTCTTAGCCACCAGGCAAGTTGAGTCAGCTTGAATAACAGACTTAGGCTATTAACCAGATGCGTAAGGTGTACAAATGGTTAAGGGCTCATGCTCTACCGACTGAGCTAGCGGGTGCCTCAGACTTTGGCTAATGGTACTTAATTCTACCCAAGAGAAACATTCAGCAATACATAGATGTTATGTCAACACTTCTTCCCCAATCCTCAAAGGTCAGTTTTATGTGCTTTCGGTAAAATGTCCATCTTGGTTGTCAAGAATCAATCTTTATTTACATTCTAAAAATGGAATAACTTGCAACTCCAACTCCACAAGGACCACCAGCTGATGTCCTAAAATTTAACTCAACTCTGACACTACCTACTAGGAAACAGCATCAGATCCCACAGGTTAAGGGGCTCAGTGCCCCCAAGACTGGCCCCTCTCCACGCCCACTTGAGATGCTAACTTTAGAAGCAGGCTGCCACCTCTGCTTTTGACCTCCTGGCTCCAAAGTGGAGGTTCCCATGACCTAATCCTCAGTTTCAATGAATTTGCTAGAGAGGCTCACAGAAGTCAGGGACACAGTTTCCTCACTAGATAACTGGTTTACTATAAAGGATGTAACCCAGGAACAGTTAGTGAAGAGATGTATAAAGCAAGATATGTGGGAAGGGGAACATTTATGCCCTTGAGTGTGTCACCCTTCTAGCACTTCCATGTGTTTATCAACTCAGTTCTCTGAATCCCATCTTTTTGGATTTTTAAAAAAATATATATTTTATTGAATTTTTACAGAGAGGAAGAGTTAGAAACATTGATGAGAGAGAAATCATCGATCAGCTGCCTCTTGTACACCCCCTACTGGGGATGTGCCCGCAACCAAGGTACATGCCCTTGACCGGAATTGAACCTGGAACCTTTCAGTCTACAGGCCGATGCTCTATCCACTGAGCCAAACCGGTTTCAGCTTTTTTTGGATTTTCAATGGAGGCTTCATTGTGTAACAATGACAGACCAAATCTTGGGTCATCAGCCATTAACTCAACCTTCAGCCCCTCTCCCCTTTCAAGAGGCAGGGGTCAGGTGGCACTGAAAGCTCCAAACTGATAACCAGACCTCATCCTCAGGGGCTTTCCAAAAGTCACCTGTTAACACTGACTTAAGTGTGGTTGAAAGGGGCTTGTTAACAATAAAATACACCTTTATCCCTTATCACTTAGGGTAGGGGTGTCGAACTCAATCAGAGAAGGGGCCAAAATCTAAAATCCAGCCTAAATCGCGGGCCGAATGGTTTACTGAACAGTCATAAACTGTCATTGTGATGGAAACGCAGCGGAGTGCAGTGATGACAGCGCGGTGCGGGCCACATTGCAAGGCCTGGCGGGACGGATTTGGCCCGCGGGCCTTGTGTTTGACACATGTGACTTAGGAAATCCCAAGGCTTTTAGGTACTTGGTGCCAAGGACTGGACAATAACTAAATATATATTTATTACAAATCATATTGTCACCCCTGCTTAATTCATTTAACACTACATTACAGGCATTTTCCCATGTCATTTCTAAGATTGAGCTCCTTCTTAATGACTTCATTGCACACTACTGCATAAATATGCCAAAAATATTTAGAATGATACCCTCTAACATTTCTAGTTTTCCAAAATTATGCTGCAATACATCTTTATATATACATCTGTTCATATCTCTAATAACTTCCTTAAAATAAATGACAAAAGGAGAATTAGAAGTTTAAAGCTGTGCTGTCCAATAGGTATTCACTAGCCACATGTGACTATTTTAATTAACTAAAATAAAAAATTGGAAAATTCACATTTCAAGTGCTCATCCAGATGACTGTTGTTTTCTAATTAAATTTATTGGATGACAATTGTCAGATGACTGTTAAAATGCAGTAGCCGATGGCCAGTGACCGAACTGGATAGTGTAAAAATAGAACATTCTCGTCATTGCAGAAGGTTCTATTGATAGCCTGGTCTAAAGAAAAGTTCATATAAAACATGATACCTATATCCCATAAAACTGATGTAGCAATGTTAACTCCCAACATGAGTTCCTATATCTTCTTCTTGTCAATATCAGATCAATGTTCTCATCTAATACATGAGATATAATGTTTAATTTACATATATATTATTAAAGTCTTTTCACATTTTTGGGCCATTTGTGCTTATTTTTGTTGTTGGGTTATTTGAAATTTGTCCATTTTAAGAGTCAAGTTTAAAGATATCCTGTTCCCAAAAACCTATAAAACCTAACCTATGTGTAGCCAAGAGACATTTCTTCAACTGTTTTGCTGATTTCCTAATAATTATTTCACAGATATTTATCAAAACAGTGTAAAAATAGCTAACAGAGTAGTACTACAGTTAGCTAAAGGCTGTCTGCACTCTCACAGGTTGTTTTCTTACAGTGAAGTTAATGGTTTATATTCTATAAAGTAATGGCTATCACTACTATATCACTTCTAGGGGATATTGTTATAAACTTTCAAATTAGCTATGAAAACATATGGGATGATAAAAAGTATATGAAATGTTTGTTTTTTAAGTGATTATATTTATACAAAACACTGGAACAGGAAAAACCAACCCATGGATACGAGTCAGAACAGTGGTTCCGCTGGTGGGTGAGGGTTGGGAGATGGAATGAGTGGTCAAGCACATAAAGGGAGTTTCTGGCATGATGGAAGTGTTTTTTGTTTGTTTGTTTGTTTGTTTAATGTTTTTATTGATTTTGATAGAGAAAGGGAGAGAGAAAGAAAGATAGAAACATTGATCAGCTGCCTCCCGCACACCCCTGGCCGGGGACTGAGCCTAACTCAGGCACTGCCAGACCAGGAATGGAACCAGGGACTTCCTGGTGTACAGATCAACATTCAACCACTGAGCCACACCAGCCAGACAGAAATGTTCTCTTTCTTTAAAAAAAAAATAAAAATATTTTATTGATTTTTGTACAGAGAGGAAGGGAGAGAGATAGAGAGCTAGAAACGTTGATGAGAGAGAAACATCAACCAGCTGCCTCCTGCACACCCCCCACCAGGGATGTGCCCGCAACCAAGGTACATGCCCTTGACCGGAATCGAACCTGGGACCTTTCAGTCCGCAGACTGACGCTCTACCGCTGAGCCAAACCGGTTTTGGCTGAAATGTTCTCTTTCTTGATAGGGGTGTGAGTGATATACAGCTGTCAAAACTCAATGGACTGTACACGACAGAACATAAACAGTTTCACTATATGTAAATTGCATTAAATTTTTAAAAGTTTAAAAAGTATGTGCTGTTTAAAAAATATAATTGATAGGCAATAAAAATTTCAAATATTTCTAGAACTTAAAATGTGATTTCCTGGCCGAGGGACACAAAAAATTTTGCAAATTGGAAACGGGGTGCAGACTATGTATAACACTTGGGCCAAACCACTCAACTGTCAAACCAACAACACTAGAAAATTCACTGTAATATCAGGG